GTTGTTGTTGTTGCTGTTGTTGTTGTAGTTGTTGTAGTTGCAGTTCTAGTTGTAGTTGTAGTTGTTGTGTAGTTGTAGCTGTAGCTGTAGTTGTAGTTGTTGTAGTTGTTGTAGTTGTAGTTGCTGTGGTTGGTGGTGTTGTTGTTGTTGTTGCTGTTGCTGTTGTCGTCGAAGTTAGGGTAGTTAAGTTAGTGAAGTTAGTTAAGTTAGTCAAGTTAGTTAAGTTAATCAGTGTCTACTTTTTCGACATCTTCACGTCAAAAAAGGCTCAAAACCTTCAGTTTTTTACACTTTTGACTTCGAAATGTGCTTCGCGCCACAACGGCGTGCACTTTTTCGACACTTTTTCGACATCTGAACCTCCAAAAGTGGTCCGAGACCGTCAGTTTTTAACACTTTTGACTTGGAAATGTGCTTCGCGCCCCAACGGCGTGCACTTTTTCGACATCTCAACTTCCAAAAGTGGTCCGAGACCGTCAGTTTTTAACACTTTTGACTTGGAAATGTGCTTCGCGCCACAACGGCGTGCACTTTTTTGACATCTCAACTTCCAAAAGTGGTCCGACGCTGAGGTGTTTTGTACATTTTGACTTGAAATGTGCTTCGCGCCACAACGGCGTGCACTTTTTCGACATCTCAACTTCCAAAAGTGGTCCGAACCCCTGGTGTTTTGTACATTTTGACTTGGAAATGTGCTTCGCGCCACAACGGCGTGCAATTTTGCATCGCTCCTGTGGCCAGCTGGCTCCGCACCCGCCGCTTTAGCGAGCCTACTTTTCGACCCTCCGGCGCCACAGATCATTGGAAAAACACAGTGTTTCGCGACTTTCCTACCTTTTCGCGCATCGTAGCGTCTGTCCTCTTACTCTTTCTCTTCTGATCTTCTCTCTTCTAATCTTCCTCTTCTCTGTGCCTCTGCCCTGCTCTGCTTTTCATCTGTCCATATTGTCGGAAGTTTGACTTCTAAACTTCCTTCGATGATGATTTACTCATAAAAAATGGTAGTTTTCCATAGCAAATTGCTGGTCTACCAGAGGGTACCAAACATAGACATTCCAATCTGTAAGTCCAGTGGGGTCCTTAATGGCTTGACCGAAGTCACTGGAAAGCGGTGAAGATCACGTTGCGGCTCCACTGGGGACAGCGGAGTTGCAACCTGCAACGGCGACACATTTGGCACCGCTGGAATCCGGGACATCAACTTTGGAGAATGGAGATATCTCACTGAAATCATGAGTCAATGGGATTTAATAGGGTTTTAGTTTTAGTGGGATTTAATGGAATTGTTCATTCGATTCAATGATGGGGACAAGTGACATATCTACCGATCGAATGGGATTTGATGAGATTTGAAGGGAGTGAATGGCAATTTGATGGGATTTAGATACCATACTTGGTGGTGGTTCATTTCACTTAGGAAGTAGACCCACCTGCCAACTGGGGTGGGCCAGCAAGCATGGGATAACAGGTGATGAAGTCACATGGGATTGATTGGGGGAATGTAATCCTCCAATAAATCAGCATCAGAGGTCTGAACCGGACCTAGTGAAAAGGTCTACAAACTGTCTTTGTTGTTTAAACTCCCATGTATATTCTATTCCACACACATATATCAGATAAATCATGCATTAATCCCTATGTTTGCTAGTGTAGGCTAGTTAAATTAGTGAAAAATCATGCCTTTCCTCATGTTTGATGCTTATTTCATCAACTTAGCTATAAATTTAATGTTGTTGAAACAATATATAAACAATCCCCAAAATCACCATTTTTACAGGTGGTATGTTTACTATTCCCAGTCATGGGTGGGTAATGGCATTGTTTTACCCACATTATTCACCATCATTGACCATCATTAACTCATTCTAGTCCTGGCCATCCCTCTTGTGAAGGTGCGTGAAGACTTGCGGATCTCAGGGGAAGCGCTGGCATTGTTTTACCCACATCACCATCACTTCCCTGGGACATCCCATCCGCGTTGTCTCTGACCTTACGCTGCTGTTGGCCGCAACCACTGATGAAGCGGACGGCGCGGGCGGCACGGCGAGCACGGGCCTTGTTTTCGACGGGCACGGCTGCGACGAAGGCGAGACATGCGGGGATGGTCCATTTACCATCTGGTTATTTAACATAGCCATGGAAAATCACAATTTTTACTAGGCAAACCATCTATTTCTATGGGCCATCTATACCATGGCTATGTTAAATAACCATAGGGTACTATATTACAGGTATCTGTGAGAATATATGTAATATACGTATATTGTAGAAACAATAAGTATGTATATATATACTGGTTGGTGGTTGACCTACCCCTCTGAAAACTATTAGTCAGTTGGGATGATTCTTCCCAATATGTGGAAACATAAAAAAGTTCCAAACCACCAATCATTATATATATATAAATAAAAATATGGGAAAAAAATACTTATATTACAGTATAATATTTCACTAACTTGAATTAAGGCCTCCAATCTTCCTTAGCGGGCCCAACCCCAGCTGACCGTAGCGCAGAGCTGGACCGTCCATGTGTCCTTGACGAGGTTAAACCCTGAGCTTCCGAGAAGCTCGTTTTGAGAAGCTCGAAATTGAGAAGCTTCATTTTGAGGCTGGCAGCTTCGTTTTGGAGCTTCTGGCTTTGACCCTAAAAACACCATGTTTAGAGCTTCTGAGAAGCTCCATTTTGGAGCTTCTGGAAGCTCCAAAATGGAGCTTCTGGAAAGTCAATGTGCAAGTTTGAAACATACATAAGACAGTGGATCAGAACTCAAAGCTGCAGCAGCTGAAGCAACTTTTTGACAGAAGCTTAGGTGAATTGTCTGTGTGGAAGCTTTTTAGCTTCTGCTTGGAGCCTCTTGCAAGCCTAGCATTCCTACCTCAAGCCTTTTGCAGGCTCCAAGTAGCCTATCACAGGCTTGACTTAGCCTTTTGCAAGCTCCAAGAGTCAGTGCAATTGCTCCACCTCAGAAGCAATTTTTCTGATTCACTCCCAGGACCAGTTGGCAAACCACCTCTTCTTTGCCATAGTTGCTGCATTGTATGTGCAAAAGTTTCGTCTCTATAGTTCCAAACATCCTTAGGATGTAAGCCTTTGCAGGCTTGGTCTAAAATGTGCTGTAACAAATGGAATTTGGGCCTGACCCTCCATGTGTGTGTGTGTCATCAGGGTTTTTTGACATGGCATATTCTTCTAAAGCCATATACTGGCTGATAAATTTAAAGCCATTGCTGGCTATGCCTGCCTTGTCTCCTTTTTCAAGAGCATCATACATCCTGCCACAATATTTGGCAACATTGTGAATTGCTAGTTGCCTTTTGGTTCCAGTGTGGAAACCATTTTCGCGAGTCAATGTTTCCAACAAAGGAATAAAATGCCTGCATTGGGCAGCTTTGGCATCCAGCTCAGGAGCTTTTCCATCTTTTTTGAAATCTTTCAAAGAGAGCTTGGGCAATCTTTTGTCACCTGGCCATTTGCTGGCTTCATAAATTTGCTGGATATGTTCCCACAATAGCTTTGCTCTTTCTTCCTTGTTAGAAGCAGGATACTGGGGCAAGATTTCCCACAAAATTTGGCCTGCTGCTAAAGCAGCACACCCTTCATCACATACATGCATCCAATCTGGAAACAGTGTCCAATTGGCAACTCCCGGAAGATGAAAAAGTGGGTTGGTCTTTTTACCTCGCTGTGCCAAGGTTTCAAACCAGGCAGCCTTTGTCAGGCTCATGTCCTTTCTTTCTTGGCTGCTTAGAGCCTTCCATGTGTCAGGCTTAGCAGAGCAGAGCCAGCAGCAACTGACTTTGGTGTTATGTGTTGCAGCCCCATACCATTTAACATTCCAATCCCAATCTGATCTCATTTCAATCAGTGCTGCCTTTGCAGGCATTTCCTTTCCAGACATTTGCTGTCTCTCCTTGTCAGTGTTAGATGAAAAAGGCTGCCCATCATGCCTTTCAGTGGGGTACTTTCCTTCCCCCAGCTTTTTCAAGCTCCAAGCAATCACTTCACAAATGGCTTGGCATGTTTGTTCACCTGCGTTGTATTTGGTTTCCAAGCAGCAAATTGGCATCCTCTGGGATTGGAATGTTTCACTGCAAGGCAGGTTCAAAGTGAAAAAATCCAAAGTGGATTGGTTCATCCTTCCTTGGATAGGCACACCATCACCATGAATCCCTAATGGCACCATGGAGCCTGCAGGGTTGCCCCAAGCCTCGCACATTTCAGCCAATTTCTGGCTCTTAAAAGTGCCTGCCTCAGGCATTGCATCATTCTGGGCATCAGGTTGCCACAAATAATTGGAAAGCCATTCATGAGGCAACAAGAATGGCAACCAAACCATGTTGATTTTCTTTGCTTTTGGCACCCATGTCGGAATTTTTGCCCAATACAAATTACCCCATCTTTTGTTTTTCTTCAAAAATCTTTTCACTGATCGAGCTGCATTGGTATCTCTAGCCTTTGCAGGCTTGGAAGCATCCTTTGCAGGATTAGCAAAAGCTAAGCCACACTTTCTAGCCCTTTGCATGATCTTCATGCTTTCTTGGTCAGAGATTTTGTTTTTTTCGAACAATTCCCTGAGAGCTTGTCCTAATTCTTCTTCAGCTTCGATTTGATCCTTACTTTTGGGTCTAGGAACTTGCCACCATAGCCTTTTATCAGGCTCTTCATTTCTAAATCTTTTTGGTGCAGCTTGTGTGCACCACCAAAAGCAAAACAACACCGCGAAAAAATGTAAGCATTTCATTTGAGCCAAACTCTGCAGGGGAGGTGTTAGCTGAAACCTTGCCTGCCTTAGTACTTGTCTCTTGAACACACCCAAAAAAAATTCAACTGGTTTTCAACCCCTGCAGCTAGCCCTGAGACCCCAACATCTTTTTCTTTTTTCACCATCAGGGTTCGAAGTGGCAGGTCAAAAGCTAAAGCCTATTGCAAGCTCCCAGTTTAACACTTCAAGTTGTTGACAAAAATTGTTCAGCCTTTTCAGGCTCTTGCCTCTGCCCAATCAAATCAACCCAGCATTTTTGGCCCACAGCTTGTGTGGGCTCAAAGCCTTGGACAAAGTTTTTTGGTGTTGGTCCACCTCTTCCTTCAGCTTCCCTAGCTCATTGTTTTTTTTGCCATCTCTGGCAGCACTGGGTGAAAGGGAAGAAGGCAGGGCTGCAAGCTTGGAAACCCACTTCCCTTTCAAGTCTTCATTTTGCTTTTGCAAGCTCTGCAGCTCTTCCAGACTGGCAGTCAGCTGCTTGCCATGCTCTGCTGCATCCTTGTTGGCCAATGTCTCTTTCAAAACTAACAGCTTGTCCACTGATGAGCTGAAAGTTTTGACAGCCTTGCTCAGGCTTTGGTATGCTTTCTTGTAAGCCTTTTCAGGCTCTACATCTTCTTCTTCTGCATCACTTTCTGCAGCCTTTTTCAAGCTTTTCTTTCCCAGCACAACTTGATGTGAACTTTGGTCTGCCATGAGGGCTTTCTCAGCTTTGTCGAAGTCATGCTGATCTTCCATCTCAACCCTTTGCTCAGCCTTTGTCAGGCTCTCATTGGCCTTCTCCTCTTCCTGAGGACCTGTCTTCTCATAGTAGTACTGTTTCACCCCCATCTTTGCCCAGGCTTTGACTTCATGGGGGCGCTCTTTTAAGCCTTCACAGGCTGATTGACAGAGCAAGTCAAAATCCTTCTGGGTTGGATCAGCACCTTCCATCTTGCCAATCTGGGAGGCTGTGAACCAACCCCTGGTTTTTGTCTCTTTCACTGTCAGCCTTTCCAGGCTCTCCTTGTGCACAGCCTTCTTGCTTTGGGTGGGGTCCAGCAAAAAGACATTATAATAAAAATGCCTCTTGCCTTGCTGGCCACCACCCTGGGCCTCTTTCCAGGCTTGGGGAAGTTCATGCTTCCCAGCTTTTTCAAGCTTCTTCAAGGCATAGCTCATATCATTCCAAGCTGCCTTGGAAGGAGCTGCCAGCACCTTCGAGCTCTTAGCCTTTGCAGGCTTGTGAGCCTTCTCAGGCTTGAAAGCCTTTTCAGGCTTGTCCTGGGAGCCACTGGCTGGCGCAGCCCCCTGTTCACCATCTGCCTTTCCAGGCTCTCCTGCAGCCTCTCCAGATTCCTCTTCTTCATCTGCCTTTCCAATCTCTTCTGCAGTCTCTCCAGGCTCTTCTTCACCTGCCTTCCCAGGCTCTTCTGCAGCCTCTTCAGGCTCTTCTTCACCTGCCTGCCTTCTTTTCCTCTTTGGCGGTGTTAGCTTTTCCCTTTTCACAGATGCTGGTCTCTTCATGGCGATGGTTTGCAGGCCAGCTACCTAAAAGAAGTTTGGCTTTTCACAAAAAGCTGCAGCACGCACATTCCCCTGACCTGGAGCTGGAAAAAATTGAGGTACCAGAGGGTGAAAAAAAAGCAAAAGTCTGAAAAGTCTAAAAGTCTTAGTCACATATCTGGATTTATAATTAGATTTAGTATTGGTGACCAAAAGTCTGAAAGTCCAAAAGTCTTAAAAGTCTGAAAAGTCTAAAAACCAATCTTGTTTTCGATGTTTTTTTGGAAAATGCTCATCCATTCTTAGGGGGTTCCACACCTGCATCAGTCTCTTTACAGAACGTCAAATTGCTTTCGTGGTGGAAACAAAAACCGCTTTTTTGGTGGAAAAGTTGTTGGGGATACCCACAGAAACACAAACCACAGAACCCCCAACCAAGCCAGGTGAGCAGCCAGCATTTTTTCAAAAAACACAGCTGCTGCAGATCTCAAACTAGCAGCACTGCACTACAGCCTTTGCAGGCTCAAGCCTTTGCAGGCTGAAGCCTTTTCAGGCTAATGCCTTTTCAGGCATGGCAGCCTTTGCAGGCTTTAGCCTTTTCAGGCTGCAGCTGTCACAGCAGCAGTTCCTTCTCCAGCCCCACCACCTCCACCACCTCCAGCACCTCCATCACCTCCATAGCCATCACCTGGCTCATCAGGCTTTACTCCACCCTTCTCAGGCTTCTTGCTTTTTCTTCTTCTCTTTTTCTTTTTTTCTTAGCCTTTTCAGGCTCTTCGCTATCCTCCTCATCATCATCCTCTTCTTCCTCCTCCTTTATCTTGGCTTTCAACATTTTCTCCACCTCCAATTCCTTTTTGTCGCCCACAGGCACTTTTGCCAAATTTGGAGGTGTCCCCTTCCACCTTGGCCCATGCTTGCCAGGCATGGGGCTGTCAGACCTCCTTTTTGGCTTGGGGTCATAGCTCCATTCTGAGCTAGATTCGTCCCCAGGTGTGCTTGCAGCCTTTGCAGGCTCTTCCTTCTTGCCTTTCTCAGGCATCTCTGAATCTGAGCTGGCTTCTGCCGCTTTTTTGGCTTTTTTCACCAATTCCATCATTTCTTTCTTAAAGCCTTTTGCAAGCTCAGTTTTTTTTGCCATGAGATGATCAGGGACTGGCTCACCTCTTTGTTCACAGCCCCTTCTCTGATGCCTTTTGCAGGCACTGCCCCAGCCCCTTGTGAAGTACCGCTCATTGCTCCACTTGGGGTGCCAGGGGCTCCTGCCTTCTTCAGGCTCCCAAGTAGCAGGCCCACTGTACCCAGTGGAACTGCTGGAAGGAGTGCTGCCACCACAGCCACTAGCATCCTCCCAGTCCCACCAGCTGTGAGGCTGCCATTCCTGCCATTCCTGGCTCCTGGAGCCTTTGCAGGCTTGCCACCTTCTCTCTTCATTCCTTCTTTCTTCCTCCCTTTGCTTTTCTTCCACCCTCATATATAGCAAAGGGAGGTCCAAAGAGAGTGCCAAGTAATCATTGGGGCCAGGTGGCTGCAAACTTATGAGCCATTGCCTGGCTTGAGAGTTCCAAATTGGTGGATGCTCTGTGCTGCCACTCCCCAGGTGTGAGTGGCCATGAATGTAGATCCCCATCTCTGGATCTGCATGCATAGCCTCTTCCAGGCTCATGACCTCCCAGGTCTCCAACTGCTCTTGCCATCCACTGTTGTGATCTATCAAATAATAGATCCCATCAAAGAAGCGAACATTCCACCATGGGAATGCCCCCATGGCCTTTGCAGGCCCCACCATGACCACCATGAAGGTGAACAAAGCCATTCCCGGGCTCCCAGCCTTTTGCAGGCTCCTGCCACCAGCCTTTGTCAGGCTTCCCATGGCCATGCAAGCAGCAGAAGGGTCACAGCTTATGTGTGACACAGATGCGAGAAGTTTGAAAGTGTGTCTTTGAGTTTGTTTTTATTCTGCCGGGAATATATAAATATATATATATATTTATATGTATGAATATATATATATATATGTATATGTACATGCGTTTGTGCCTGTATCCTTTTCATATGCCTCATGTCTTCCAACTTTTGTGTCTGTGTCTGTAATGTCTGACTGTTGTCATGTGGTGTGGCATGCTTGTCTAGACTAGCTAAGCCTCTTTTGAGCCAAGAATAACAGGTTCAGTGAATTTTACAACCTTGAGAACCTACACCTCAACTTTGCTTGTTTCTTTTTTAAACCTATTTCTGTGCTTTTCCACATTCACCAGCCCAGCTCAGCCGCTTTATTTTTTCACCAAAACCGAAAGCTGTCAAGTTCAGCTGCAATGAAGCCTTTACAGGCTCTTTTTTTTCATTGCTTCAGCCTTCACAAGCTTTTGAAAATTTCCTGCAGCCTTCACAGGCTTTTGCTTTTTGCTCATTCCAAGTAAAGCTTTTTCAAGCTTGGAGCATCTTTTGTTTGTGATGTACCAAAGTTTCTTTTGTCCACCCAGCTTCTTGGGCCTTTGCAAACAAGTCATCCATGACCTGTGTTTGCTTCTCCCCTTGTGGAATTTCAATGTTGACCAAGCAATATTCTTTGTCAGCCATCTCCTGCCTGGCTCTGATGTATGCTTTTTTGGATGCCCTTGTCTGATGCACAAAGCCAAAGCTTTCTGAAGGCACCCAAGGCCTTTTTTCCCCTTTAGCATTTGCAGGCTTGGCAGCCTTTGCAGGCTTGGCAGCCTTTGCAGGCTTGGCAGCCTTTGCAGGCTTGGCAGCCTTTGCAGGCTTGGCAGCCTGTGCTTCTTGTTTTTCAGCCTCTCCAGGCTCTGCTTGTTGGCTTTCAGCATCATCAGGCTTTGCTGCTTGGCTTTCAGCCTCTGCAGGCTCTGTGGAAGAAGCCTTTGCAGGCTTGCTAGCTGCAGCCTTTGCAGGCTTCTTTAGTTTCTCTTCTTTCTTGGAAGCTGGCCTCTTACTACCACCTTTGGAAGCAGGTTTCTTTGCAGCCTTTTCAGGCTCATCCCCTTCATTTTCAGACATGCTGCCAGGGGCTACCAATTCACCACTGGAAATAGAAACAACACTGCTGAGTGCACCAGGTGAAGATAAGTCACCAGGAGAAGAAAATGCAAAACGAAGAGCCTTCCCAGGCTTTGCTTTGGGACTTTCTTCCACCTTTTCAACTAAGCTTTGCTTGCGGTTGAGCCTCTTGGCAGGCTGGCAGGCTGCAGGAAGTTCTTGGCTACTGCTGCTGCCCTTGCTGATGCCAGGAGTCTTTGGCATCTCTTTCTGCAGTGCAGCAAACAAACTTCTTATAACAGCGTCAGTTTTTTCGCCTGTTTTCAAATTCCTTTGCTTTCTCAGCAGCCATGTCTTGTAGGAATGCAATGAATTGACTATTTGCCTTACCTCAGCTAATTTCAGCCTGTTGCAGGCTTCAGAAAATGCTTTTCTTTCGTCTTCTTTTTTGTTGTTGGTGGCAGGAAACCACACACTCAAAAATACATGCAGCCTTTTGCAGGCTTCTTCAGGATCAGCTGGAAAATCAGCAGCTGTGCAGTCTGGAACACTGCCTTTGATCAATGCAGCCATTCTTTTTACTGGCTCCTTTAAGCCTTTTGCAGGCTCCACTTGCTGTAGAGGCAACATCTCCCACTAAAGGCTTTGCTGAGTTATGCTGTATGTTTGTGGCAAAAGTTGGTAAATGCTGCTTGTCGATATGCTGTATGTGCTGTGAATGTTTCCATGTCCCCTCCTCGTTTAAACTGCTATTAAGTGCACATGTGTTGCAAGCTGTAAGCTTGAACCTTTGAAGAAAGCAGCATCAGGCAAACCTAGTTTGGAGCTTAACATTTACCTTCCAAGAAGCTCTTCTGAGAAGCTCCAAAATGGAGCTTCCAGAAGCTCCAAAATGGAGCTTCCAGAAGCTTGTTTGGGAAGCTCCATTTTGAAGCTTCTAGCGTCATTATGTTGAAAAAACCAAGAAGCGCTTCTTGGAGCTAGAAGCTCCAAAATGAGGCTGGCAGCCCTTTTCAAGAAGCTTCAGAATGAGGCTGCCAGCCCCAAAACAAAGCTGCCAGCCTCATTTTGAGACTTGCAGATTGAGCTTCCAGGAGGCTAGAATCCCAAATTGGAGCTGCCAGCTCCAAAACGAAGCTTCTCGGAAGCTTAGGGAACCATGGAAACAGTAAAGCACCTTGGTCCCTCACGACTTGAATTAAGGCCATTTGGGGATGATTTCTCTTACTAACCATTATTCCCAGTGAGGGAGAACAGTGAGGTCGTGAGCAAAATTACCAATCAGCTCCCAACGTCCCAAGACAGCCTTTGCATTAAATTCAAAAAATGGGAATTTCCATAGTCATGGGGAATCCCCAATAGCTGGTTGGTTATTTCATGGAAAATCCGATCTAGAAATGGATGATTGGGAATTAACCCCCATTTCAGGAAACCCCCATATAGATACAGGAATGTGGTAGACCCATTGTCCAAAAAAAAACGCCACTTTGGCGATGGTTTCTGCCAGCCCTTTCTTAAAATTTTCGGGATGGTATGTTATTAGGCTTGCCACTCTCAAATGTGGGTTTGTCTGACAACTGGGTACCAAACAATTTGATGGTTTATCATCATGTTTCCCATTAAGTTGACTTGTCTTGGCTCTCTGAGCCGGGAATGTGTTGAACAAATGAATTTATCACTGACCCAACAGAAACGTTGGGATTTCCTTAGGGACTAAACCTTGACGAGTGACGACGGATTGGCCCAAGTGGGCTTTTAACAGAAAGCATGGGATATACATGGATACAAGTTGGTGCCCACCAGTGCCCAGCAGTGAATTCTCGTTGGTTGATTTTCACCCCAGTTTTTGCTAGTTCGATTTATCTACCATAGAAATCAATAAGCCCTATATAGCGTGCAATATTGGTGAACTAAAGCAACTTAGTTTGGGGCCACAGTTTGTGGTATTTTGTGGTTATTATTCCAATTACAACACATACCCCATGATTCAATTAGGGGGCTCCAGGGGTATTTTGTGGTATTTTGTGCAGTCTGGAACACTGCCTTTGATCAATGCAGCCATTCTTTTTACTGGCTCCTTTAAGCCTTTTGCAGGCTCCACTTGCTGTAGAGGCAACATCTCCCACTAAAGGCTTTGCTGAGTTATGCTGTATGTTTGTGGCAAAAGTTGGTAAATGCTGCTTGTCGATATGCTGTATGTGCTGTGAATGTTTCCATGTCCCCTCCTCGTTTAAACTGCTATTAAGTGCACATGTGTTGCAAGCTGTAAGCTTGAACCTTTGAAGAAAGCAGCATCAGGCAAACCTAGTTTGGAGCTTAACATTTACCTTCCAAGAAGCTCTTCTGAGAAGCTCCAAAATGGAGCTTCCAGAAGCTCCAAAATGGAGCTTCCAGAAGCTTGTTTGGGAAGCTCCATTTTGAAGCTTCTAGCATCATTATGTTGAAAAAACCAAGAAGCGCTTCTTGGAGCTAGAAGCTCCAAAATGAGGCTGGCAGCCCTTTTCAAGAAGCTTCAGAATGAGGCGGCCAGCCCCAAAACAAAGCTGCCAGCCTCATTTTGAGACTTGCAGATTGAGCTTCCAGGAGGCTAGAATCCCAAATTGGAGCTGCCAGCTCCAAAACGAAGCTTCTCGGAAGCTTAGGGAACCATGGAAACAGTAAAGCACCTTGGTCCCTCACGACTTGAATTAAGGCCATTTGGGGATGATTTCTCTTACTAACCATTATTCCCAGTGAGGGAGAACAGTGAGGTCGTGAGCAAAATTACCAATCAGCTCCCAACGTCCCAAGACAGCCTTTGCATTAAATTCAAAAAATGGGAATTTCCATAGTCATGGGGAATCCCCAATAGCTGGTTGGTTATTTCATGGAAAATCCGATCTAGAAATGGATGATTGGGAATTAACCCCCATTTCAGGAAACCCCCATATAGATACAGGAATGTGGTAGACCCATTGTCCAAAAAAAAACACCACTTTGGCGATGGTTTCTGCCAGCCCTTTCTTAAAATTTTCGGGATGGTATGTTATTAGGCTTGCCACTCTCAAATGTGGGTTTGTCTGACAACTGGGTACCAAACAATTTGATGGTTTATCATCATGTTTCCCATTAAGTTGACTTGTCTTGGCTCTCTGAGCCGGGAATGTGTTGAACAAATGAATTTATCACTGACCCAACAGAAACGTTGGGATTTCCTTAGGGACTAAACCTTGACGAGTGACGACGGATTGGCCCAAGTGGGCTTTTAACAGAAAGCATGGGATATACATGGATACAAGTTGGTGCCCACCAGTGCCCAGCAGTGAATTCTCGTTGGTTGATTTTCACCCCAGTTTTTGCTAGTTCGATTTATCTACCATAGAAATCAATAAGCCCTATATAGCGTGCAATATTGGTGAACTAAAGCAACTTAGTTTGGGGCCACAGTTTGTGGTATTTTGTGGTTATTATTCCAATTACAACACATACCCCATGATTCAATTAGGGGGCTCCAGGGGTATTGCCCACGTACTGAGTAGGACAATCCTCGAAGTGCACCGTGTATGTATGCTATTTGTCAACACAGTGTTGGGGTCAGGGCACAAATCCGCAAGAAAGGGACCTAAGCAACGGGGTTTTGTTGGTCTATACCTATGCTAAATACGTTTTGTGGTGTTTCAAAAAATAATAATAGATGCGATATGTGTATATATATATATACATAGGTGTTTGGGATTGTGAGCCAACTTATCTATCTAGGGTGCCTTTTGCTGCGGGGATAGCTTGCCACTTTAGTCTATCTCACTGGGTAAAAAGTAAATATGATCAACCAAAAACTTTGGGGTACAATTCGCAGACAAACACACCTGGATATACATCCTACTTCGCAAGTGGTGAACAACCCGTATATTAAGTGAGTTGTAGCCCATGAAACTAATGTTGCCCATTGGGTTTACATTGAGTTTAAATCGGCTATAACCATGGCTGTGAAACAAAATTGTACCATCACGAATCATAGGCAATTTGCATCAATTTGCTGGGCGGAACGGTTAGTGCTGTAAACTCATATGGTCATAGATTGCTCCTGGTAGTGGCTGCTCCGCCCGGGGATCTACCAATCGATGGGGAAGTAATTAACCATCCAAAAAAACATGTTTCGATGACACATCCAAAAGCCCAAGACCTTGTTTCGACACCGCGATGAAACATCTATGTAACATGAACAAGGATCAGTGTTCAAGGAATCCGAACATCGGAACCACCTTTTTTGGCAAACATTGATTAAGTATGATTAAGCTATTGTCGGGTTGGTTTTAAATTTGTTACTATTGGTTTCAATGATATCATTGTCAATTGAACATATTTAGATCCACCTCCATGAACCTATACGTGGTAATGTCGAATACTGATTAGTATGGCCCCCCCGCCCGTCAACAATTTTACGATACTCAATAAATCATAATAAATCGACATTTTAAACGCCCACCCTCAACATTTTCTAGGATAGTCAACTTAAGTAAGGATTTCAATTGACATCAATCTACTTTCAATTGATGTTCCTTTTAAATCCGAAAAACATGGCCCCAAAAGTTTTTGTGCACAATTAGGGTACCATCGAAACAATTACATTATTGAGGATCTCGGTCACTCATGGGGTACCTACCCCCTTGAAAAATTGTGTGGGTGCTAGTTTTTAAAAAGGGTTTAATAAGGCATCTAATGTTTTGGAAAACCTTGCGTTTCCAAGGCTTTAACATGGATATGGTTTTCTAAAGTAAATGGACGGTCGCTTTACCCATTCAGAAAGGTGTTGATAAAGGCCGGTGAATTAGGTGCTCCTCCTTTTTCAAAGGTTAGATCTGAGAAAAAACTTCTCACTTGGTAGAGTCCCAGGAAACTTTCTTCGGTATACCAGTCATTAAACCAAAACAAATTACCCAACCTGCTTATTTAACCAGTAGCCATGGAAAACATTACTGTAAACCAAAACACATTACCCAACCTGGTTATGACTAACAGTTCGGCATGGTTTGTCGATGGCCCTAATCGAAATAAATGCTTTACCTATTAAAAACATGATGATTTTCCATGGCAAACTGTGAATGTCATAACCAGATGGTAGAAATTCCAATGAACCGAACCTGGAAATTGAAACCCCCCATGAACCACCTAATCAACAGTTGGGGGGTTCCATAAATGTAGGTACCCCTACTTATGGATGGTTTATTTCATGGAAAATCCGATCTAGAAATGGATGACTTGAGAGTACCCCTATTTTGGGAAAC